TTGAAATTCGAAGCGTTACATGAAAAATCTTTTTAGTTGGGGCTCTCTAATGTTAACCAAAATAAATTGTAACTAATAAAAATTTTGGATTTTGAAATATAAAAGAATAATCAGAGGCACAAAGTGAAGCAGCTTTCCCAACCCAGGTTCAGAAGCAGAATGGGGCAAGGCCGAGGCGCACATAGACTTAAACAATTATGGTGAAATTTGGTTTTGGAAACATCTCAAGAAAATGCAGCAGCAATCGGTTGCATAGCAGAGGAAAGAAAAATATGTTTGGCTTAGCAAACATCGACTAAAAATTATGAAATTTTAACAGAGACTATGACATTCATATATGTACATCATATAAAAAAATTGGAGTCTCGATGATAATGTTTAAAGCCCGAAAATATTTTTCAACTATACTTGACAGAAATTTGAAACTGTACCGATGCAGTTTACTAAAATGGACATAACTTTTTGTGCATGTAACATTTTAAGATAATTCCAAAAATCCCTCTTAAAAGACTCATAGTCCTTTCAAACCCCACTATTTCACTATAAAAAATGCATTGTAGCCCAAATTATACCATTTTTAAGTAGGAGAACAAAATCTGAAATTCAATCCAACAATAAATAAACTTCATGCGTAATCATTCCAACATTTCTAAATTATAATCGGCATGAAATAAATATAAAACTAGGCAAAACAGAACGTTAAACATTTTAAAAGTGTTTCTAAGTATTCATAAAAAAATTTACATAAATGAAAATTTTACTAGAAAGTCATAAGCATTTCAATCGCCAAGCACTTGCCACCATGGCAAACCACTGTCATGCCTTCAATTAACCTGTAAATTTTGTAGGAGTGAGTATCACAAGTAATATTCAGTGGTAAACACTTAAGTAAATGTTAAAAATATATATTTTTAGAAATGCAACTTGGGTTATTTGTATCACCGTCAATTCTGTAAAGCGAACCGGTGATCAATTAGTCTGTTTACTCTCGAGTTTTAATAACCTCTTTCATGTGTCATAAACCATCTCTTCATCTCTTATTTGAAACACCAAAGGGTGCTTCCATTCTCTCATGAGTAACACAATAACACATTAAATGCAAATTGAAAACAAGTAATTTTTACTTCACATACAAAAGTGCCTAAAAACCCCTACCTTAAAACACTTGGAGTCTGAATATTCTCTTGCGTACAATATATAATAAAATACAGCGTACTCTTTAATTAGTCTTTAAAAATTTTTTTAGATTCAAAGTGCCTTAGTCTTTGGTAAGAAAAGCAGAAATATTTATGTATGGGTAAAATAGTTTGGGGAAGGGAATGTGGCCTTAGAGGTTATACGAGATTATTGTTTTTCAAATACAAAAATGATGATGGTAATTTGTAGTAACCAAAATGGAATTTAAAACAATAAGAGGGGTATATTAATTAGGTGTATAAATGGTGGGTTATGGGTTAAAAAAAACGTATAGGCACCCTTTCATATGAATGGAAGTTCTGTTTTATAATTACCATAATGGCATTAAGTGATTTGGAGGTTATGGCATTTAGTAAATGATTTAA